TTAGCCTATGAGGTGAGTGCCCAGGTGGCGTTAAATGTGACTCATTAATCCGAGTAAGTAATCACGAGGTTTTCATGCCTTACATTCTGTTGTCAGTGTTGTGAAAATTCAAAATGAGGTGGTGGTTAATGTGAGATTAATTGAGGATGCTGAAATTAGTTATAAACAACTATTAAGACCAGAGATGTGGTGATGAACATACATATGATTTGCTTCGTGTCCTGATATCATTATAATAATGCAGTTCTTGAAATGCTAAGATTGGTGTTATTGATATATACCTTGTGGTATTTTGTTGGGTTGTGGATGTGATGTTAGGAGTTGTTTTGGTGTTACTCTGGCAGGTGGATAGGCCCAATTACAGGGGAAACTCTACCGAATTTTCTGAGATTTGAAAATTTGGGAGTTAGTAAAATTTGGAGGATTGAGATTTACAAAAGAAGAGTTAAGTTATGTTATGTGTTTGAGGGCGAATGATACTAAGCGAGGAAGAATGAAATACTATAAACACTATCAAGAAAATTGATGTGTGCGTAGGCACGGGTTGCTATAGCCAGTTGAGACTAATACCGTGCGTTGTTGTGAAAAAATCTGACATTTTGAAATGTTGGAGTGTAAGAAATTGATCTTAAAGTCTACAAATATGGATAAAAGAAATAATCTCAAATGAGATTATGTTGTCGGTCTTATCTCAAATGCGGTAACGTGGAATCAACCGTGAGTATATGTGTAAAAGTAAAATTATCAATTTGGTAACCTCAGAATAATTCTTAGAACGTTCGAGGACGAACGTTTGTTTAAGAGGTGGAGAATGTAACGCCGCAACTTGTCGTTTTAAGAATTTACGCCACGTTCAGTGGTTTAAGGTCTCGAGAAGTTTCGTGATATGTATTATGACCCGTGGGTGTGATCGAGTTTGATTTTCGGAATTTAATTAAAAGAACAATTCTTATTTAGAAGCTTAAATGGAAAGAATTGACCGGAGAGTTGACTTTTGAGAAAACGACCCCGGAATGGAATTTTGATAATGGCAATAGCTTCGTATGATGATTTCAGACTTAGGCGTATGTTCAGATTTGGATTTGGAAGTCCGTAGGACAATTCGACACATTTTGGCAAAAGTTGGAAAATATAAGATTTTGGAAAAGTCCGACCGAAGGGTGAATTTTTGATAACGAGGTCGGATTTTGATTCCGGAAATGGGAATAGCTCCCTTACATCAATTATGACTTGTGTGCAAAATTTGAAGTCATTCCGGATTGATTTAATATATTTCGGCGAAAAATATAGAAGTTGGAGGATTTGAAAACTTATAATTCGATTTGATGCGCGATTTGTAATTTCGACATTGTTTGACGTGGTTTGAAACCTTGACTAAGTTCGTATTGTACTTTTGGACATGTTGTTATAATTGGTTGAGGTCCCGGAGGCCTCGGGTGAATTTCGGAAGGTTAACAGAGCAATTCAGACTTGGAAGAAGCTGCTGGAAAATGGCAGCATCTGTTGGATTCGCACCTGCGGAATTTTGGGCGCAGGTGCGACCTCGCAGAAGCGAGCTGGGAAGAGCTGGAGGAAGGTCGCAGATGCGGACAGCCTTCCGTACCTACGCAATCGCAAGTGAGATATTTGCTACGCAGAAGCGACGAGGCAGCGCAGAAGCGGAAATTCTGTGCACCTTCGATCAGCGCAGAAGAGGAAATGGCTCTGCAGGTGCGAACTTTGTGGCTGGGCAATGACCTCGCAGAAGCGTGTTTTCGCTCGCAAAAGCAAGCACGCAGGTGCGAAAATTAGTCCGCATGTGCGAAACTGGGCAGAATCATAAGGACCAAAAATGGTCATTTTTGGCATTTCGTTTTGGAATTTTTGGAGCTCGGATTTGGGCTATTCTGGAGGGATTCTTCACAATCTTGGTTGGGGTAAGTGTTCTATATCTTAAAGTGATTATATTTCATGAATCTACGATTATATTTATCGTTTAGATCGAATTTAAATGGAAGAAATTAAGATTTTTTCAAAATCTTCCAAAAATGAAAATCTAAGATTTGGAGGTCGAGTTGTTATTGGAATTCGATAAAATTGGTATGGTTGAACTCGTATCGGAATGGGTGTTCGGATTTCGTGAATATTATGTCGGGTTCGAGAAGCGGGTCCCGCATTGACTTTTGTTGACTTTTTGGAATAAATTTTAAAGTCGACGTATTATTATCCGGAATTGTTTCTGATGAATTTTAATGAAGTTATACAATTTATTTGAATAGATTTGAGCGGTTCGGAGGTCAATTCAAGCAAGAAGGTAATTTTGGAATATCGGCATAACTTTAATAAATAAGTGTCTTGCTTAACCTCGAGTGGGGAAAATACCCCATAGGCATTGAGTATTATGTGCAAACTCTATAATTTCGAGGTCAATGATCGAAGAAGGCCATACCGAAATAAACTCCACAAGTTTGTCCTGGGATTGGAGGAATAAATATATCGAGTACCTAAAGAACGGAAAGCTTTTATCGGATCCTAAGGAATCAAGGACTCTACGTACGAAAGCCGCACAATTCACATTGACCGAAGATGGAACACTATATAGAAGGATGTTCGATAGACCATTGGAGATATGTTTGGGTCCCGGAGACACCGACTACGTCTTACGGGAAATTCACGAGAGAACTTGCGAAAATTATTCCGGTGCCGAATCATTAGTTCACAAAGTCATCAGAGCAGGATACTACTGGGCCAATATGGAAAAAGATACGAAGGAATTCGTTCAAAAGTGCGACAAGTGTCAAAGATATGCACTAATGATCCACCAACCCCGGGAGCAACTCCATTCGGTCCAATCCCCATGGCCATTCATAAAATGGGGAATGGATATCGTCGGCCCTCTATCAACGGCCTCAGGTAAAGCTAAATTTATTTTATTTATGACTGACTATTTCTCTAAATGGGTTGAAGCACAAGCCTTCGAAAAATTTAGGGGAAAAAAAGTTATCGACTTCATCTAGGACCACATTATATGTCGATTCGGAATGCCTGCCGAGATCGTATGAGACAATGGAAAGCAATTCATCGGCAGCAAAGTAACAAAGTTTCTTGAAGACCACAAAATCAAAAGGATCTTGTCAACGCCATATCACCCAGCGAGAACGGACAGGCAGAGTCAACGAACAAAACCATAATTCAAAATCTAAAGAAAAGGTTGAACGACGCAAAGGGAAAATGGAGAGAAATGTTGCCCAATGTCCTTTGGGCGTATCGAACAACGTCAAAATCCAGTACGGGGGTCAACACCGTTCTCTTTAGTATATGGTGTCGAAGCTCTAATCCCGATCAAAGCCGGGGAACCTAGCGTCAGGATTCAATATGCAACGAAAGAGTCAAATCACGAGGCTATGAATATAACTCTTGATTTTCTAGATGAAAAACGGGAAAGCGCCATCGTTCAAATGGCCGCACAGAAGCAATGGATCGAAAGGTACTACAACCGAAGAGCCAATTTTTGACATTTTAGAATAGGGGACTTAGTATTGAGAAAAATCACCCTCAATACTCGAGACCCAAATGAAGGAAAACTCGCCCCAAATTGGGAGGGACCATATCAGATCCTCGATATCATCGAAAAAGGATCTTACAAACTCGGCACGATGAACGGCGAACAGTTGTCAAATAATTGGAACGTGTCATTCCTCAAACGATATTACTGCTAAGGTACAACCTTCTCTATTTTTATTTATATTTTATACTAACTGTTTGCAGGTGTTTAATCGAAGACATCAAAGTATCCTTCAAACGCAGTCCTTAGGTCTAAAAGCACGTGGTGCACTCTTTTTTCCTTAGACCGGTTTTTATCCCAAATGGATTTTTACGGCGAGGTTTTTAACAAGGCAACCATTGTTCTTGCTAACTTAGAGCAATTCAACAGTATCCGAGGCTCCTTTATAATCAACCTAGAATACTGAGGGCCATCACCCTTGGATAGTTACAAGGAAAATACTTCGTGTCGACACGGTCTCGATAGGTAAATTTTGTAGAGGACCAAACGGTCAAATGAACCGTGTCCGTATAGATTACTCGAGCCCTAATGGCAAAACATGTACGCATGTATAATTTATTGGAAGAAGTATTTTTCCTTACCAGATACCCCATGTTTTAAGATTTATGCTTTACAATCTCATACTTTTGATCTATGGTGGAAACTGACTTAAGGGTCGATCACAACTGAAGTTCAAACAATTTATCCAATACTCGGGGACTACCGTCTAAAAAACGACACGATCGAATTACTAAACCTCGAGATCGTAAGATCTTAAAAAGGCAATCCTCGATTTTATAGGCCACGGCCACCCCACTCGGGAACTGATACTTCGAACAAGTTCGAAATATAACAGGGTAACAAGCCCAAAAGGCGAATCCCAAGTTAAAGGCTACGGCCAAATCAACACGGTTCGGAGACGTCCGATTTCCGTTATTAAATAGGCCTTCAAATATTTTCATAAACCGGTTAAAAAGGCTACCCTCGGCTAAATTTCTAAAGGGTCTTGATAATATCGACCCTCGAAAACCCTAATGGATACAAAAGCATTCGAGCTCTCGAATAAATTCTTTATTTTATGCTAAGGCACTGTGAAACAAAGGGTCTCGATAATATCGACCCTTGAAAATCCTAATGGGTACGGAACCATTCGAACTCTCGAGAAAATCCTTTATTTTGTGTTAAGGCACAACAGAATTTATATGATTAGACGATAAATGTATCAAGCCGAAAAGGGGGGAGAAAGCCATTCTTTTTGCTATAGCCGTATCGGCCTAATTTAAGAGCCTAAAAGGCTAGTTTATTTTTGAGTTCGAAGAAATCATCCTCACTCAATTAAAACCTACGGGTCACCCTATTCTGAGTTCGAGCAAGTACTCACTCGATTATAAAAACTACACTAGTCCANATATGAATATTTACAAGGTCAGATCGGGATCTTATACAAAAAGATCAAAAGTGAAAAATCCTAAGGTTCCTAATCTCCTCCGGGGGCAGCTTCTTCTACGTCGAGGTCCTCCCCATTCTCGAAAACGCTCTTGCTGCCATCATCATCATCGTCATCGGAAGTGGCCAGCGCTTCGGCTTCGGCTTCATGCCTTCTAGCCTTTCATATCTCATTGGTAAGATCAAAACCCCGAGCGTGAATTTCCTCGAGGGTTTCCCTTCGATATTGGCATTTGGCGAATTCAGTAATCCAATATGCTCGAGTTTGAGCGAACTCGGATGCCTCTCTCGCCTGGACTTGAGCGGCTTCAGCATCGGCCTGATAGACGGCCACGATCGCATCCGCCTCGGCCTTTGCTTTTTCGGCTTCAAATTTGGCCTTGGCAAGTTCAGAAGCCAACCAAGCCTCAAGCTCCTCTATTTTCCTTGCTTGAGTCGAGCTCCTCTCTTTCATTCCTTGAAGTTGACTTTCGACCAATGATAATTGGGCTCGAGTAGTCTCTTTTTCTGCAGCAAAGCGGTCCATACCTTCCTTCCATCCCAAGGACTCCGCCTTTATTGTGTTGACCTCCTCACGGAACTACGCAATCCTCTCAATTTTCTACTACAACTGTGAGATTGAAATATTAGCCATCGTTCCCGAATCGAGCCCATGAAATTTTAAGATTTTCATTACCTGCTCGATCAGACTTGTCTGATCTTTGTGAACCTTGGACAACTCGGATCGAAGATCTCTGATCTCTTCCTCTTTTTGCCCACTAAGAAGTTTGAGGGCATTTCTCTCCTCTAAAAGCCCTCGGAAGTCAGCCTCATATCGGCTCAGCTCCGCCCAAGACTTGGAAAACGCCTCCTGATGTAGAGATAAAGCCTATATGAAAAGAGAAAAAGTTAGGCATAAAATGGAAGAATATGACATCAACAAAGGGAATCGAGACTTACCCGATTTAGGGCTCGATGAGCCTCGAAGAAAAGACTCGATGCGTCACTCGGGCCGGCAGCATCCTTGATACTTGTAAATAAATCACAGAAGGGGTCCTCTCTCTCATGAGCTCTGTCTACCTCGAGGGTCCCCAAAGCTCGGGCTTCCCGAATCGCTCCTTCAGAAAAAATAGGGAGAGTGGGCGAGTCTCCGATTACTATTGCCCCAAGGGAGTCACTTGGGGCGTTCTCCTCAGTTCAAAGAGCTTCAGGGCCGATCCCTTCAGATATACCTAACGTTTGTTCATTTCGGTGAGAGACATCCTCGATCTCCAACGACTCGAGGACTTTGCCTGAGTCCTTCTCTGATATCCCCTTAGTTCGAGGTGGAGCCTTATCAACCACCATCGATCCAGTTGTCTTTGGGTCATAGATGGTTTTCTTTACTCGGGCCACCAGTATAGAGCTGTCATCGTTTTCTTCATCTTCATCCCTCATACGCCGAATAGATTCTTCTGTTAGACGGATGGTGTTCTTCCTCGGCTTACGAGCCGTCCTTGCCTTAAGTTCTGGATCCTCGGAAGTCGAGGCCCTTTTTCTCTTGTTGCCTTTCGCCAATTTTGGAATCGGGGCCGAGGTCTCTTTCTCGCCAGACGGGGGCCTCATGACCGCATCTTTGCCCAGGCTTACACGCAAGAAAATTGGTTAACTATAAGAAAGACATTTTGATCGAATCATCAAGGACATAGGAAAGGGCTTACCATGAGTTTTGGCCTCCCATCGGACCTTTGATAAATCGCGCCATGAGTGCTCAGCGTACGAAGAGGTCGAGGCTAGATCCCGAACCCAACTCTTGAGGTTAGGAATTGCACCGGGCATCCAAGCAACAGCTACATCACGGAAAAGGATATCGATGAGAAGAAGCAAAGGGTCAAAACAATAAATAAGAATTAATAGTGGAACTATACTTACGCTTCATATTCCATTTCTCAGGAAATGGCATCTTCTCGGCCGGGATTAGGTCGGAAGTCCTCACTTGAACGAAACGGCCCATCCAGCCTCAGTCCTTTTCCTCGTCTATGCTCGAGAACAACACTTTGGTGGCCCGGCATTGGAGTTTTATCAACCTTCCTCGATAGAGGCGGATGTTGTATAACCTGATGAGGTGATCGAGGGTGAAAGGCATCCCCTCGACTTTGCTCACAAAGAATCGGAGCAGAATAACAATTTGCCAAAAATAAGGGTGGATTTGACCTAGGGTTATCTGGTATTGATGATAAAAATCAATGACGACGGGGTCGAGGGGGCCCAACGTGAAAGGGTAAGTGTAAACACTTAAAAACCCTTCCACATGAGTGGTAATGTCTTCTTCTGGGGTCGGTATCACCACTTCTTTGCCTTTCCAGTTGCAGCCTTTCCTTACCTTCTTAAGATACCCTTCAGTTATCGAGCATATGTACCTCGACACTGGCTCGCATCCACCAGGAAGTGAGGCTTTTTCAGTTTTGAAGTCAGAAGTAATAACATACCCCCCGGGAACACACTCTTCAGTTCGTGGCTCTACCGGCGTTTTATCGCCGGCCGGCCGCGATGAAGAAGTATTTTCCTTTTGAGGAACAATCTTTGATGTTTTTGCCATTTTAGTATGGATTTGAAGTTAAAAATAGATGCAGATGATAATTTGGTATTTTGAGAGGATGGTAGCAGTGAAAATCGTAGATGTGCAGATTAAGAGGTTAGAAGATATAAAAAGTTTTGAAGATTAAGAATCTGAAAGTAAAAGTTCGAAATAGTGGAGAGAGGGGGTACTTATAAATTTCACAACAAAGGTTCAATATTAGCGTTGGCCGACCATCGATTGACGCGCAGTTAATGCCTAGGAAACTGCACAGACGGGACGTTTCAGTCACTTCTGTCGCTTACGTCACACGGATAACGTCATGACAGGTCGAGGTAGAAAATCGAAGGCTCAATTCGTTTCTTATCATTACACTCCATAAAAAACGAAGGGACTATCTGTATACGGTTAAAACCGGACCTTCCCGATTTTACTATTTGACCGAGACCGGGAGTTTGCATTGAAGGACGACTCCGAAGTAGATCGGATCGAGGCACGAAGACAAGGTACCGAGATCGGGATTCAAGGCGCCTTCCAAGATCGAGGCCGATAGCAATCGAGACCGAATGAGATAGGTATCGAGCAATACCGAAGATTGTGTAATAACGGAAAAGCGAGATATCCGCGATCGGTCGAAGATCATGGCAGAAATCTCGAAACGGATCGAATCAAGAATGGTTGTTTAGTTAATCATGGGATTTCCTTCTGTAATTAGAATTGTACCATATATATAATTCCTCTACTATATAAAGGGGAGTTCTAACCATTTGTAGTCACGACTGATAACAAAGCAATATAAGTTTCTTCCTCGCCCACACTCTTGTTCTTCAGCTTATTGTGTTTTTATTGTTCTTACATCAATCAGTTCGAGGATACTTTAACTCAAGGGTTGAGTGCTACTCAAATACTGGTTTAATTTACTTTATTGTATAATTCTATATTTAATCTTCATATTTATCAATCGGTATTAAGTGAAATTGCGTGTCCTTAAATCCACATTATAAGTTTAATTGTTATCTAATTTTGAAGGTAAACAACTATCATTGCACTTGTCATAAAATTGACCTTCTAACGTACCAAGGCACGATATCCATTTTCTTATCATATCAAACCTTGAGACACGGTTTCCGCGGTTTAGGAAACCTCTTAAAGATTTAAAAAATAAATTATAGCACAAATTAATCTACTAATACTTTCCTTTATGTTGCTTAATTACCTTGTTTTGAAAATGTGTAGCCTTGATTAGAACTTCGATGATGTTAATCTAACGTAAAGTTCATGAGGTACAGGTGTCTCTGTGCGTGTGGAATTTATGAAGTCAAAGGATCCTATATGGAGAAGAATATATGAATCCGAAATTAGTAGGTGATCGTCCCTCAAAGGCGGGTTTAGGATTTTTATATGACAGGGCATAATATTTTATTTAACTAGTGCCCCCTAAAGGTTTTTAATATTAAGGGTGATAATTACTTTAAATTAATCATTTTTAAAGTATATACATAAACATATACAAGATATCTGACGGAACTTACTGGGTCTGGTGACCCCTCACGGTAACACGTACCAGTGCCGGCCCAAGGGTAAAGCTGCTTTGGACCTCATAATTTTTGGGGCCCCAAATTTTTCTAATAGCTTATATATTAATTTATTTTTAGAAGAATATTTAGTGCTTTAAATGAGAAAGTACAAATTTTCATAGCAAAAACGTATGATTAAATTGTTGATATAATTTCACAACGTGTATATCTTAAGAGAAATTAAATAGATTAGATAAAATTATTAATAATTTTGCATATGAAAAACTAGAAATACAGAATTTAAATAAAATTATATATAAATTTTTTCTTTTATATAAAAAAGGATCTCTCATTGAATTCTTGCTTTAGGCCTTCATATTTATTGAGCCGTCCAATGACATGTACGTCCGGCTCTGGTGACCGCGATAGCCTACAATTGAACGCTTTGACCGGACACTTTGATTTGATATATAATGCGTGTTCAGTGCGATAGAAAACGGTGTCGAGAAACTGTATTTTGAAAATAAATTATTTTTCTGATCTTTAGTTGTTAGAAAATATTTTTCACCACGGAAGAAATAATTTTCTTCACTTTTGAGCGGAATAGACATTTTCCTTCATAACTAGTTAGCTCATAACTTGATATCACTGCTCCAATCATAGACATAATTATCAATCTTTAGTACTTCAAAATATTTCATGGAATCACTATACAATTTGCTAACTTTATCATTATAAATGTCATGGGTTACTTTCCATCATCGACCCATGACCCTTTGGATGCACCCCGTGGCGTCCTGGCAAGCCTCCCAACGCCTAGCGCCATGGTCGGCCCCGTGGTCTCGGCAGCGCCAAGTGACAAGCACGCATGCGCCTCTGTCACCCCACCGATAATCAGTGTCAGCGCCCAGCGGCTGGCGAATGCCAACAGTGCCGCGTGCACAAACCATCATGTTGCCAACAGCGCCGCACACAGAGACAATGCCGCGCGCGTAGATCCAATGCCAAAGCGCCCAGCCACAGGCAGATCCAAATAGTCTCGCGCGCGCCGACAACAATGCGCGTGCAGACCCTGATGCTCAAGACAAAGTTGTTGTCATCGGACTTGCTTCTACCTTGTAGAAGACTAAGTCCTTTTCATTGTAATTATAGAGTAGTTTTACATCATTTTCTTTCAGTGTGCTTTTACAGCTTTCATAAGTCAACTCATGTAACTTTGGTTTATTTTTTTTAAGCATTATTAAGGGGGACCAAAGCATTCAAACATTCAAGCAAGCAATCATTTCTCTGTACTGATGTCTCTCCCCCCCTCCCCCCGACACCACATAGCATTTTGTAATAGCTTTCGTCATCATCAATACAAACATCAGCTTTCATCATCAATTGCTTATTTTCGCTACTCATTTGCTCACGACATTAGTTTTTCCGTACGACACTGACAATCTAGTATAGCATATGGAGGGGACCTCAGTTGGCGGACAGCAACCGCACTGACATCGGTTGCTTAGCCTTACGTCGCCCTTCAAAGAAATTTCAGGAAGGCGCCGTGTAATAGTTGGTATCATAGCCAAGGCTCGACATCAGACGAGGGAGATCATTGTCATCACCACTATTTCTGACCATGGTAAATTATGGGGATCGCATCGCGACCCTTCAAGAGACGGTTGACGATTACGGGCCATCGTGGATACGGTGCTTGATCTAAAAACTAGCCTAGTACAAAAGGTTGGATGACCTGGACCGCAGAATGCGGCAGGCTGAAATTGACATTGCAAACATCAGTCGCGACTCTGAGGAAGACCGAGAAACGGCAGCCGTCGAGGTAGCCGAAATTCATGGCAAATTCGAGGACCTCCAACAGGAGCATGCCGAGGATTTAGATCATCGGGAACTAGAGGCAGACTGACTGATTGCCATGCAGCAAACCATAGACAATTTGTCAGGCCAGCTCAATATTGTCAATGCTGCCCTTCAAAACCTTCTCAAAGGAAGCGAAAACCAAATCAGGGGTGCAATGAACATTTTCCCTATGCCACAAAAGCTGAAAATCCTGGAGCCCAAGCCATACAACGGAGCTCGGGATGCTAAAGAAGTGAAAATTTTCATCTTTGACATCGAACAGTACTTCGATGCCGTAGGACAGTTGGAAGAAACCAAAAAGGTAGCAAATGCTGCCATGTATCTTCAAGGCGATGCTAAACTCTGATAGCGAGTGAAATATGAAGCCATCAGGGCCGGTGAAGATACTCTCCAGACATAGGCAGAACTGAAGGCAGCCATACGCCTGCAGTTCTTCCCTGAAAATGTGGAATACAATGCAAGGAGAAAGCTGCGTGAACTCTGCCACACCAGGTCAGTGCGGGATTACGTGCGAGAATTCTCCGCACTCATGCTAAACATACGGGATATGGGGGACAAATACAAACTATTCGCATTCATAGATGGTTTGAAACCTCATGTTCGTATGGAGCTGTAAAGACAAAAGGTAGATACCTTGCCCGAGGCCATTCAAGCTGTAGAGTGCCTTGTGG